ATGAAGGAGATTGTCCTGTATTTCTCTTTTTAGTTATGTCTTTCCCTGGTTTTGGTATCAGTATAATACTTGCCTCAAGGAATGATTTTGGGAGGACTTCTTCCTTTTCAATTTCATTGAACAGTTTGAGGAGTGTAGGGATTATATCTTCTGTGAATTTTTTGTAGAATTCAGTTGTGAATCCATCAGGACCTGAACTTTTCTTTGTTTCCAGCTTTTAATTACATTTCTTATTTCACTGGCTGTTATTGCATTATTTAGAGTTGTGATATTGTCTTGATTCAGTTTTGGTAACTTGTACTTTTCTAGGAATCTGTCCATTTCGTCTGAGTCTTCTCTTCTGTGAGAGTAAAGATTCTCAAAGTAGCTATTGATAATCTTCTGAATTTCCACTGGGTCTGTGGTAATTACACCCTTTTCATTCCCTACTGCTTGTATTTGAATTTTTTCTTTCCTCTTTTTGATGAGGTTAGCTGGGGGCTTATCGATTTTATTTAATCTTTCAAAGAACCAGCTTTTTGATTTGTCAATTCTTTGAACTGTTTTTTTTTTGTCTCAATTAATTTCTGAATTTCCCATCTTTGGGCTCTGGTTTTGCTTTGTTCTTCCTTCTGCAGTTGTTGGAGGTGCATCATTAGGGTGTTTATTTGTTCCTGTTCTCTTTTCCTAATGTGTGAGTTCACAGCAATGAATTTCACTCTGAGAACTGCTTTCATTGCATCCCATAAGTTCTAATAAGTTATGCTTGAATTTTCTTTGAATTGTAGATATTGTTGAATTTCTTGTTTAATTTCATCTGTGACCCATTCGTTGCTGAGTAGAGTGTTAAATTCCATGTATTTAGGGTGTTTTTCTGGTTTCTTTGGTCATTTCTTTCCAGTTTCATTGCACTGTGGTCAGATAATATGCATGGGATAATTTCTGTTTTCTTTCATATACTTAAGCATGACCTATGGACCAGTATGTGGTGTGTTTTAGAAAATGACCCATGTGCAGCTGAAACAAATGTATATTCAGTTGTTCTTGGGTAGCACACTCTGTATGTGTCCATTGAGTCCATTTGTTCCAAGCTCTGGTTCAGTTCTGCTACTTCTTTGCTAATTTTTTGTCTATTTGACCTATCTTTTTTATGTAAGGGCATGTTAAAAACTCCTGTTATGATTGTGGTATTGAATATTAGACTTTTCATGTCCATTAAGGTTTGTCTTGTATAGTTTAGTGCTCCCATGTTTGGTGTGTATACATTTATGTGTGTTACCTGTTCTGCTTGAATTTTCCCCTAACCAGTATATAGTGGCTTTCTTTATTTCGTTTGATCATTCTTGGTTTGAAGTTGAGACTATCTGAGAATAGGATGGCTACCTATTTTTTTTTAAGGTGCAGGGATGTGTAGTATTGTTTTCCATCCTTTTTTTCTTTTTGAGTTATGTGTGTTTCTTGTATACAGCATATTGTTGGATTGTGTTTCCTAATCCAATGTGTCAGTCTATTTCTTTTAATTGGTGACTTGAGTCCGTTTACATTGATTGTTATAATTGAGATATATTGATTTACTATCGACATGTTATCTACCTGCTGTTGTTTATTCTTTTTTCTCCTGTGTTTAATTATTTGTTTTATGTAGTGGTTTCCTTCTGTTCTCATTCATGGATTTCTGATCATTTCAGTCCTTTTCTAGAACATCTTTTAGTCATCTGTGTAGGTTTGGCTTTGTCATCATGAAATTATTTAATTGTGCTTTGTCATGAAAGTATTTCACTTCTCCATCAAACTTGAAGGAGAGTTTTTCAGTGTATAGTAGTCTGGGCTGGAAGTTGTTTTCATAAAGGACTTGAAGTATTCTGCTCCATGCTCTTCTTGCCTTCATGCCTTGTGAAGAGAAGTCAGCCATAATTCCGACGGGTTTTCCTTTAAATGTGATATGTTTCTTTTCTCTAGTGGATTTCAGTATATCATTCTTGTGCTGTATTTCTGGGATTTGACTATTACATGTCTTAGTGTGTTTTTAATTGGGTTGAAGTTATTTGGCAATCTGTATCCTTTAGTTACCTGAATGTCAGATTATTTCCTCATATTTGGGAAGTTTTCTGCTATTACTTCTGCCCATATTCTTTTTATATCATTTGTATTGACTCCTTTCTTATTGATGCCTGTTAGTCTCACATTGTTCATCTTTGCATCATCTTGCTGGTGATGAATTATTTTTTAAGAGATCCTTTCTTACCTTTCACTAGCTGCACCACCGTCTTCAAGATCTGAAATTCTATCTTTATTTTCATTCAAATGGTTTTGCAAGCTTGTGATTGAGATTTTAAGTTCCTCTATATCTCCTTGACTCTGCTTCACACAATCTATTTCTTTCCTGTATTGCTCATTCAAGGAATTTGTCATTTTTCTAATCTTTTTTTATCATTGTCTTCTTTAGAAACAGTTATTCTTTTACTGCAGAGATTTTTGAGTTTATCCAGTTATGCCTGGCTTGGGTCTAGTTGTTGTGCTCAACTCCTTCCTGCTGCAGCCCTTGGAAGTGAACCTGTTGTGACACTTTGGTGGGCTTGGAAGGTGGGCTCCAGAGGCGTGGAGGGGTTCCGAGGGTGCGGCATAGGGTCTCACTCACACAGAGTGCCTGGATTTTGGTCTGAAGAGTTCCCACTGTTGGGCGCATGGGAGCCAGAAGCTCTCCCACACACTCAACTGGGCCTGGGCATGGGTTGCACCTGGGGGGTCCTGAATGCGTGGCAGCTCTCACTGGGTGGACTTGCAAAGGTGGGGTACCTCCATAGGTGTCCAAAGGGCACAGTAGAGGGTCTCACTCACTTGGTGTGCCTGGATTTTGGTCTGGAGAATTCCCAAGGGTGGGCACACAGGAGGCAGAACTCTAGTAGTTTTCTGTATAGCATTCATTTAAGGATTTCTGTTAATGAGGAGTGTCAAATCACTACTGATCAACTATTACACACAGATATGTTGGCTAGTATGATCCTTAAACGTAATCCTTTCTCCTTCCCATCTACTCATAGAATCTGGTTGTCAAGAATATTCTATGAATTGAGGTCAGTAGTTCTCTAGAGGACTAAATCTAATTTTATGATTACTCACTGTAATTTTTTAAAGTATATTACCGGGCTGGAGAGATGGCTCAGTGGTCTAAAGCACCTACTTGGAAC